CAAGCATCAGGCTAGCAGACCCACCTTTTGAGCACCTCGTCTGCTGCTCCACCAACATGCATAGGCCAGTATTGACAAGGTGGTTTGGCGAATCATGCGGTCCTTTTTTTACTCCTTCCTTGGCCTTGTTTTTTTGGTTGCATTTCTTTTAGCCTTTTTTGAATTTGTGTTTTAATTTTTCTGTTCGATATCTGTTATGCTCTTTACTATTTTTATGTTAATTATTTTTTTGCTTTTCGCTTTCTTTTGGATTTTTTCAGTATATCTTTTTGTCCAGATCCTATGCAGCCTGATTTATTTCGGTTTTTTTCCGTGAATTTCTTTTGCGTTGACTTTTTTGCGAGATGTTTTTATTTTTTGTAGTTTTTTGCCTTTTTTTAAACAACTTATTCAAGCATTCATTGTCCCTAATTTTTTTTCTGTTTTTCCTGCCCTAAATACCTCTTTGATTTTCCCTACTTTTTTTAAGCAATTAACTTTGTTTCCCTAGATTTTTTAAGCCTTATCTTGATGTTTTTTTATGAAAGCTCTGATTTTTTGTCTTCGATCCTCCTGCAACTAATGCCAGTCACCACCATTTGGAGTCAGCTTTGCTTTCTCCGCCTCTTCCACTGGCTGCTGCCTTGTGCGTGTAGAAATTTTTATTTTCTTTTTTTTTCATTTTAAGTCCGTTTATCTGGACAATTTTTTTGTTCTTTAGATATGATTACTTGATTACCCTGCCTTAATTTATGGTATGGTTTGAAATCATTTGGTTAGTTTTCTCGTGTCAGATAAATTAATGTACTTTTTTTTTCGCAAATGCTTTGCTGCCTTATATGTGTGTAGATTGACCGTTTTTAGACCTTAGTTAAAAACAATTGTTTGTTTTAGTTGTTTCAAGGGCGGCCTTTTTATGATTATTTTCTATCGTCCATATTGGCTTGCTGTCCCTCTCTGATGAGGTTAGTAATGCTGTCCCGCTTTTTCTGTAAATACATGCCTGTCTCCTTTGTATTATTATCCGGATTATTTTTTTGCTCTTTTTGTGTGCTAATTAATGTATTTTATGTGGTTTCATTCTCTTGTTCGAAGGTGTTACCATTACTAAATTCGAAAAAAAGACTGTTTGATGGCATATTCTATTGGGACCTTCTAAAGTCCTCCATGTATTTTGTTGTTCGCTGACTCGTATTTCATTGTTTGCTATTTCTCCCTCCAACAATAAATCTCGGCTTCGTTTCCTTGTTTCGGATTAAATGTTGCATAATTATCAGTGAAATGTACTGGTGAATGCTGTAATGAACTTTCATTTAGTTTCTACAGTAGACACTACTATTTTACTATGTTGCTCTCGCTTGTCCTGAATTCACGCACAATATGCTTTTGCGTAAGCGTTGATTATAGCCCTTTATCGCTATTTTTCAGGACTTTGCCAACGTCAGACACAATTTATATCTTCGCATAATTTCTTGCTTATCAATCTAATGTTGGTGATTTGCATGCTTTCCTGAATCGTTTGGTTTTACTGGACTCACTGCCTTATATGATAGCCCGTGGTAGTTAAATAAAAAGGGCTTACTAATTGAGAGATAGTATTCCTTTTTTCTTTTATGCCAGAGTAAAGTGTGCTGCAATTTTTTTAAGAACCCCAACTAAGCATTCCACAAATGTGGACACTGCCCCTTCGGTTGTCCCGGTTCCAGCTGTTGTTAGCCGACCGTCTCTCAATGCGCCAACTCCGGAAGTGTTGTTACCTACAACCATGCGAAATGCACCCGTCAGGCTTCTTCTTAATTCTTCAACTGCTCTTTCGAATGCCCTTATTTCTGTTCAACCACAATTTACTATATTCCCTTCCCCACCAAAGTTTCCGCCCAATGAACAATGTGCAGATCGCTCTTCCGTTTCAAATTCAGGTGAGATATTGTGGGACAGTGTTATCTTAATAATTCTGCTAAATCTATCAGCGAGTACTTTTTTGCTTTTATAGCTGGGCTGTCTCCAAGAAAGCATCTCGAAATGGACCCAAAATGTGTAGGACTTGAAGCCAAGACTGCGCACCTTAGCCCAATTACTATCATCACACCAACTAAGACCTCTGCTACGCCCCAAATAATGCCACTCGTGCAGAACTCTGAGTTAAGGAACTTAAATCAATCTCCTGTGCAATGTAATTCCGCATTATATAGCAATACAACCCTGCCTGCTGCTAAATCTGCGCCAACAAATACAAAGACGCTTTTTCCAATCGCTCTACCTGTTGATACTGTTTCTCACGCAGCTCCTAACCTACTGACCACTCTTCGAGTAAGTTCCATATCCCATAACGGGGTTCTGAAATCCATAACTTGCGTCATTATTGGATCTTGCTTCTTTAGCCTTTAAAAAATGAATCTGCACACCTCCAATCCGTTGCTACAGCACATCTAAGCGGTACCAATCAAACATCTGCTGATCCTACCTTAACATCTGCAGCGCCAATTTTGAAACCATCTAGTCTTGTCTCACACTCAACTGTCCCCAGTGTATCGATTGACAACCAAACTACACCATTGGTTTCTGTCGTATCTATTGATACATCGAAGAGTGGTCATTATGCGTCCACGGCAGCTACGACACGCTCAGCGCAGCGCATTCCAATTGCAGTGGCTACAAATAGACAGTCTAGTACAAGTGTACCTCTAAGTCGCTCGTCAATTGGACGTCAACCAGTTATCGCTCCATTATCTCCTCTCCGGCCCGCTTCTGGTGGCCCATTAACTCCAAGCCGAAAACGAGCCCGAAAGCAGCAACTTTTGGCTCCACATGGTACCGAGACTTCTGTTTCTTCTACTAGTGGAACTGCACCTGCCGTCAATATTGTCGGAATGGTCACTTCATCGAATGACAGTGGTGCACTTAAGCCATCTGATCCAACAAATGTCGCTACTGCTATAATCCCAAATGTTTCCGTCACGTCCTCTATCTCTGATATCGAAGCTTCGCTGGTAAGCCTTGTTTATTTGCTCATATTACTTAACTCCTTTCCATTGTCGATTCCTAAATTACTTTTTTTGTCAGCAGTCAAGTAATCTCACAACATCGCCAGTGCCCGTCGTTGCTTCAGCTAACTCAAGTTCAAGTGGAACTAGTCACGTGCTCAACCTGCGTTTACTCCAGGTGCGGCCAGTGACCACCAGTGGTCAATCAAACAAGGAAGTATCATCGACGTTTGACCATTTTTCCGTAACAGCCACGACCTCACTGATGGCTTCTCAACTTCACAGCTTAGTCGTTAGTTCTGCGGGTGTTTCTACAGAGCATCAGCCAACCTTGTCAGCAACGGCGACGGCACTGACAACCGGCTCTGTTGCTGCTTCCTTAGTTACTGCATCTTCATTTCATCCTGCCAATCCGACTTCCCAGCAATCTATGTACGTGTTTCCTACAACTGCTGTTGCAACCCCTTTCCGAGCAGCCATGACGGCCACTGCATCGACTGGTAATGTTCTGCAGGTTCGTTTTCGAACACCTACACCTACAAAATCTTCATTCGCTACCGCTACATCCCAACAGGTATGTCGATTGTCGGTTCTAATTTTGTCACATTTTTGATTATATCATGAACTTGTTTTTCACAATTTGTGCATTTTCTATATGTATATGTCAACGTTTTGTGCGTGGATGGAGCCTTAAATTTTTGGGCGAAAATATTCCAGTCCTCTGCTGGTACAGTGACCAAAAAACTAGTTTGTTGGTTGCTTCGAAAAACGCAAAATTCCTTCATCCGTGTTGCTTAAATATGGTCTAGAGTGTGCGAACTGTCTTCAGCCAACCCACTGCAAACAACACCGGCAACGTTGGTCTGCAATCTCTCACTGCACCATTGTCTCCTTCCCTGCGGAAGACCCCTGCCGACTGGTCTGTCGCGAGATCTAACGTAACAGGCAAATCAGTATCGGTCTCACCCACACACATTGCACCGGATGAAAGTGTCTCCAGAGTAGCACCTATGTCTTCTGGCAATCTCACTGTTAAGGTATATGCTCACTGTTTTTTGTTCATCAAGTATGCTTCACACACACATACAGGGAAACCGTTAAATCGGCACAATACTTGCAGGTGGTTACTGTTGGTGAATCATCGTAAATTCCTGTTTTTGTTTAACCTAGACAAACTTGGAAGGTCCCTCGAACCAACCGGTGGTGCCAAATCTTCGCCTACCCGATCTAAACACGAGGAGCTGTTTTGAAGATGTAAGCACTGCGACAGCATCGGTCTCTCCATGCAAGCGACTCCGAAAGCAAAGTAACAGTACAAGTGGTATTAGAAAACAGTGCACTTGGGAGTTGCGGACAGACCCTACAGATTCGAATAAATGTGTTTGGCGTTCACCCCTGGAAAGTTCGGATCCTCAGGAGCCTTCCCCGCAACTTATTTTTGACTCTGACACTAGGACTAGTACCCTGGCACGAGATACGATCGATAGCGCAGAATCGGTCATTCACGGATGTCCCGTCCGAATGCATCTCATTAAGCCATCGCATTTATCGTCGCGTTTTAGCGGTATTTGGAAAGGGCCTAAGACAGGCCACTTTCTCAGGTACGCTTCGAATTAGTTGTTAATGCGCCTGTAGGTTCTTTGATTGTTGTTACGCGTTTCCTATTCTAGATTTACATAATATCTTGTTTTAATCTGTTCCTCAAAGTTTTTTTCTCTATTAGCATATCGTGGCAGTATGTTACTAATTCCACAGTGCTAGTCGCAAACATAAGGGTGCATTTGTTATGGCAAATCCTGAACCTTTTTGAAATAGTTGCATTATTTTGAATCTCATATTTTGAACAGATGAGTGTTCACAAAAACTCCACATTTACCAAAAACCTTCTGATCTAGTCACCCACTTTTCATCCCATTAAACTCTGTTTACGGTTTTTTCATGTCGAAAATGAGGCCTGAACTGCAAGTAGTGTCGTGGCCGCTTACGCTTTATAGGTCTTCCGAGATTCGCCAACGACCTGAGGGTCCTCAGGCTTTGTCAGCACCTCTCCGGGTGGGTCCGCCTGCAGCTACTAGACATTTAACTGAATCAGGCCTCCGACGTCTCCGTGACCAGCTGCAGTTTTTGCCTCCAGCTGAAAATTCTGACGGTCAGCAGACCTCCAAGAGTCTCGATGTTGCTACCTTATCTGAGCTGCTGGATTTACGAAGTCAGCACGCAGAAACCTGTTTCGTGAATCACCCAGTGCATACGATCTCTACACTTGATTTAACCGGCTGGAGACTTCTCTTATGTTTGAAAAATTGTGAGAAACTCGTACGTTCACGTAGACCTACCTGTGTAGAAGTTTCCATCTCTATTTACAATTTAACAGCTTACCCATGTTTTTAAAACAAAAATAGCTTATGTAGACGTTCCCAACGGGAGACCCGAATGTACTTCGTATTCACCTGACATTTAATCATCGACCTTGAACAGGATTCTCTCATGAGTAATGAATAGCATCTCATGTTAGAGTGGTGGTCGCCAACAGATCCCTCTCTTAAAAAGAGAGGTTTCAGTGAAACTTTTCATCAAACAGGCTAACTGAAGTGTTTGTCGCCACCACTGATAATCGCGTCGTTTTTACGGTGGCACCACCGTCAGCAGGATACCAATTCTCGATCGCATGTTTAATAAAGCGATGTGTTGGGTCGTTGCTGGAGATAGTCAAGGTAATTTTAGCTTGTGGAGGGTCAAGGCGTATTAAAGGAAAAATTTATGACCGAGAAATGGAATTGAGACAGATTTGAAATGTAGAACACAAGATAACAGCGTCACCCATATTGTTCTCGTACATTATCTAACTGCAAGTTTGTAAAAGGTAGGGTTTGTTCGAAGACAGGACTACCATTTTTGTTGAGACCCCGGATCGACTTCAGACCCAAAGTCTGCGTGTTAAAATTTTACGTTAATGGCACTTTTGCAAAGATTAACTAGTATCGGCAAACTCTTTTCTAATTAATGTATATTTATTTAACTTTCTTATGCTGGCGCATTAAAATTCCACTTTATATTATTTTATTATTGCTGACAAAGCTATTCAAGGTAGTTGCACCTCATTTTTCGAGTCTGGGACTTTTCAATTTAACCATTTTGAAATTACTAGATTTCTACAGAATACGGAAAAATGTCAGCAATTTCGAGGGCTTCTGAAATGCTACAAGCCTTGCGTCGTGATCGCTGTCACAACGAGCAGTCAAGGCCCAATGAAGAATCTGCGTCCATGTGTCACTTTGTTCAGGATCAGCAACAGGCCCTCATCACCCGCCTTTTCCTCCAAGCCATCCCTCCGGCATCGCCTTGCTCCTCCTCATCTGATTTTGGTGTGCACGATAATGGGAGCAGCAAGAAAGTCATAGACCTGCCATCTCAATCCCAAGGAATGGATGCCGATTTTAACAAAGTTGAGGAACTCATTCAGGTTAGTGCTGCTATTCATTCTCGACTTTTTAGCATAGACCATTGATCTAGCATTAAGCCTACTTTATTATCTTCGATTTTATCGGCTGTGATTTTGTTGAAGATCGCTTCTGTCGTTATACTAACCTACATCGGCATTCGATCTTTTCTAAGGTAAACATCAAGTTATTACAACGTATTTGGAAGCTTTACGCCTTCGATTCAGAATCTTCTCTAAGTGCATTCAAACGACATGTATTGTCCACTACTGCTAAATAAACTTTCTATTGTGCATATCCACCGGTTCCATTAAACTACAATATCCATTATTTGACATTACTGATAGTGGTAACATTATGTGCGGAACTTGACCAGCATAGTTTTTTTTCTATTTTATTTATTGAGCCACACATTTCAAAAGAATAGCGAGAAATCACGGCTATTATAACGTGATCAAAAGAAAGCTCGTATTCTTGTGTTGAAGTTCTTAGGCGTCTAAGTGTGCTCAAGAATGCTGGAGCTTTGACCGCTTAGCTAAGATTGGATGGTTTGCTGTATAAAAGCGTAAACATCAGTATCAGATCTCGCAGTAAACTAAACAGACCACAATAGTCAATTATTGTATGAATTGACTTTATATGCTAGTAGTTTGGGGGCATTGTATTTTGACAAATACGCCTATCCCGTTTGGTGATGAGTAGGTCAAGCCTAATTTTAGCGTTATTCATAACCGGTGGTATTTTTCAGGGTCTTCGTCAACGGATACGTACGTTGGTAGAAAGTTTGCAACGCGTTTCCAATCTATCACACAACCTTCTTGCTAGTCACCAGAAGTCTGTCCTTGCCTTTGTTGACGACCTCGAATTCCATCAGCAGCAACACGGAAGCAACCACTATTCTCTAACCCCCTCATCTCAGTCTCCCGTGCACCTTCGGGACGGTAGTAGTAGTTCTACGAACGAAGAAAATGAAGTGGTCGGTATAACTTTAGGCACAAAGCCTCCCTCGTCTTCCTGTGGAGCCTTACCCCCACCTGGTCGTGGATCAGCTTCCCCACCTGTTCAAAAAGGCACCTCGACTGGACGCACCAACTTTTCTAATAGCCGCCGAAGGTGATAGGTATTGTAGGTATGCGTCATTATAACACTCATCTTTAGGAAATATCACCAAGGTCATCAAGGGGATGTGCACATAGTAATCGAGATCAGATGTTTGGGCGTTCGAGGGTTAAATGCGAGGGTTGTAGCAGTAACCGTCATCGTAAAGAACTCGGAGTACCCCTTGTGCGTTACATTGCATCTGGGATCTATTTTCACTTTGTCCTTGGGTTTATCCAGTTCAGAATGGTTTGTAAGAAATCTTGAGCCGTCATATTCACTTCTTGTAGTCATGAGTCGAATTTTGCATGCCGCATTTCATTTCTCCGTGTAGTTTTTAGTTAATTGTGTCCAGACCCATTTTAATTATATTGTTTTGTTAAATTTAATGGTTTGGAAAGGATCGCTAGGTTATTATTCCTGCTTCCAATTTGTCCGTATTTCCGTAACACCGACTTATTTATCTGTAACACCAATTTATGACGTTTAATTTGTCGTTTTCCCCTTACAGATTGAGAAGTCAGATCCCAGCAAATACCAAACGACACCTATTTTCTCAAACCATTTTCATTGAAACTCATTTATTAGCATCTCTGTTAAGGCAGCCAGATGTTTTGTAATTTTGAGATGCCTTTTTACGTCCCACCTCATTCACAAATTTCTACTCCTCATAATCTGCCCTCTTAACTGCATTTGACGAGCTACATACGCGACGCTGACCACTCAACGGTCTGTGATAATTGACATTCATTATATAAATATTGTATATCCTCGATGCCACTGTAAACAATTACATCTTACTGCCCTGCCCATTAGACTCCCGCCCTGGAGACAGAGTTGCCATCTGCACAAGGCTCACTCCCGCCTCCGCACGCACGTGCTCAAGCAATGTAAATTTGAAGAAATAACACCTCATGTGCAGGTTTATCTGTAAATAGCGACTTGAAAATGATTGTCTTGTGTTTTGGTCTTCGCCCCCCGGCTCATTCTCAGCTTTTTGTACACATGAAGACTTTTATATTATTGAGTAACCCCGTAAATACCTTACACATCGTTTCAACTCGTAGTCACTTAAATGTGTATGTGTGGGATTTGTGTTACGTGAGTCCTCTAGAGCCTACTACAAGTGAACGAGTTATTAGACTCTTAGAGCTGGCAAAGCCTTGCCACCGGTATGGTATTCGTCCGCTTCATCGAGTAGAAGTTGATAAATGAGGTAGAAAAAGTCGACTAGGTCGTTAAGGTTGTGCAATGTCATTGGTCTAAATACAAACAATTGTGTATTCATCGATTTTAGGGTGGCCAAGCCTAAGTACGATGAAGATTAATACATTATAGTGGGCGTTACTGACCATTTAGGAGACAGGACTTGGCGTGGAGCGTCGTCCACTTGAGTGTCTTTCGATGGATGCGCTGCAGATTATATGCTGTATACTCATGCGTGTCTGTCTCTGGCTGGCTGCATATCTCCCTCAGAGGCAGGGGTAGCTCAGTATGTCTGCTCACTTGTACGTCAACACAAAGTCAAAGTTTGTTAGCCGTAGAAAAAGATCATTGATGTGTTAGTGATTTTAAGTTACTAAGGGTCAATGGGCATCTACGAGGTTGACATTTACTTAGGGTTAATTTTTATGACAAATTTCGATATTCCATTTAACAAATGCATATTGCTGCATTCGTTGCTCCATTCGACATTCATATTGTCGTGCAAAGTATGATTAAATTGGTTCGGACACAAATAGGCCTCGTGCCTTTGCAGACAATGACATTCAAATCTTCGGCTTAATAAAAATGTTAAATCATTCAAGCGCAATACGTGTATTATCGTAATAGAGAAAAAAACAGAATCGATTTGTTTTGAATGTTCATTGAAATGTAGTTAATCAAGACGGTACAAGTATTAGAATATTCAGAATAACTTTGACCATCACTCATTCAAAATATAAACTTTCCAATATTATGTCATTAAACATTGGATTGGGCTATATTTTAAGATTCAAAAATAATTAATTTGGCACATGATAATATGAATAAAACGGAACACTAACTGAGGTAAGCATGCAAAAATTTAATTTGTATTCATCAAAAAAGCAGTAATTTCTTTTAATGGCAGCGATGCATAACTTACGGATTTTGTAAATAAACTAACAGTTCTAGTTGACTAACATTACAACATTTATGACGTTTTCTAAGTAGGGCACTTTTTAAGAGACGATCGCAATATTTCTTGTTCTACCATTACCAAAATTTAAAAAGAATTGAAACTTAGTGATTTGTTTGATTGAGCCTACTTCCGCTTTCGAAGCAGTTTTTGCGGCTATAGTGATGCGCGGTTCTGCCTCTCCTGGTTCTAATAGTTACAAAAGGGAGGGATCTACCCGGTCCAGAGGGCGAAGTCGATCACGATCAAGGTTAGACCCATTTTTGTGTTTTATATTTGCTTAGTAGGTCTAGGTCTCCCACTCCGAAGAGCTACCGTCGTCGTAGGAGCAGGAGTAGCAGCAGGGATTACCGATATCGACGCTCCGGGCACGTTCTTCTGCAAATTTATATGCTTTAACATTTTTAGAGTAAACTTCTGCAACTAGAGTTTCCAGTCTAGATTAAGCTGTCTTAAGTCATATTCGTAGGCTTGATTCATGCATTCACTTGCAAAACTTTCTCTTTGAAGTGTGTGTATGGTGTCGCACAAACCTGGGATATTTTTCCTCCGGAATGTGACATTAACTAGCAGCAACCATGTTGGTTGTCTCACTAAATTGTCGGTTTGTGATGCCGATGTGAGATAAACCTGTTTTAAGTTCCCCGTGCAATTATTTTTAGTGGCTACAGTAGCAGTTACGGTTATCGGCGTGGTCGTGAAGGCCCAAGGGATAACCCTGTTCCGTCCCGCTGCATCGGTGTTTTTGGTTTGTCATTGAATACCCAAGAGCGTGATCTTTATGACCTCTTTTCGCGCTATGGAGAGGTTGAGGACGTCACAATTGTTTACGATAATTACACGGGTTTGTCTTTGCTATATTTATTTATCTGCTTAGGTCATTCAAGGGGGTTTGGTTTTGTGTACATGAGGCATCTCTCTGACGCGAAAGAAGCCAAGCACGACGCTCATGGTAGTGAAATTGATGGTCGACCTATTAGAGTGGACTACAGCGTTACTGAGCGTCCTCATTCTCCTACCCCTGGTGTTTATATGGGAAGACCAACAAGGTACGTCTGTTGGTAATCAAATTTTTTATTTCAATTGCTGTGAAGAACACTCGTAGCCACTATTCTTTGGGGTCTTGGTTTTTTTTTCTCTTTAGACGTTACGGTGGTCGTCGTCGCACCCCTTCGCCAAGACGCCGGTACTCCAGGTCTCGTTCTCGAAGTTACGACTAAGAACACTTTCGCATTTAATGTTTCACAACTTCCACACCAATTCTTGGTTTGCGCTGAAAAGGCGAACCTTGCACACCACACCTTCCAGGTAACCATTTCCACCTCCTGTATTCCCCAACCGAAGCCGTTTTCCAAAAAAAACATGAAAGAAATCTTACTCTTTTGCTCGTAGGGGTTTTGCGACTGACATGTTTTTCTTTTTGCAGTTATCTGTCAGAACCTGATAAAATGAATAAGAACCAGAAGATGGGTATAATTTGCATAGAATTGAAGACGGATGAAAATAGCAGTGAAGATTTGATGTGGGAATAATGTGTCAACAGGTCCCGCCATGCTGGGAGAGCACCTGTTCGGCTGGAAGAACTTAGACGTCCGACTAGCAATTGTGACGAAGTTCTGAATATTGGCGTATGACTTGACTGCTTGAAATTTTTATTTGCTCAAGTGTCGTCGAATGGGTAAGCTTTGTAGGCTTTAATAGTTGCATGTAGAGATTAGGTTGTGGGTGGGGTTAGGGATGGTGCGTTGCGCGCCTTTGGTAAATCGGGGGAGTCTGCACACCTCAGGCATGACGGTGAAAGAATATTAGGGTGAAACATTTTCAGAATGCGCCCGCTGGAGCTTCAACGCACATATTTGTTCTTTTGCGTTTTACCCAACTGGCCCAAAAACTTGTTCGTTGTCAAATTTTTTACAATGTTGCACAAAACGTGAGGCTTTTTGCTCCTTTAAATGTTTGTTGTTTCTTTTTTACAGTTTGTTCTTTCCCAATATATATGTATAAATATTGTTAAATTCGTTTTACTCTAGTTTTGGGACCTATGCTTACAAATGACACTCCGTGACACTGCCGACTTAAACAAGCCATGACTCCCAATTACGTATATTTTTTGCCACCTCAGTGAGGTTATTCATACAAAGGGGACAAGTTTTTCCGGTTGATTTCCCCCATACACGACTTTACAATCTATGTCGAACATCCCAGATTCATTTGAACTAGTTTTTTGCTTCAACAAATAGTACATGCTAATAGCCGCCCTAGCTTCTGATACCAGCGCCTATTTTAAGGCCATTAAATTTTCGTGTGACTAAGCGTGTTCGCCTTCGATTGCGGACTTGGTGCATTCGCTTCTTGTAACTGGCTTGAATTTTGTTTCGTGTCGTAGCATATAGTGCTTGAAATGAATGTTGTGCAGAGAATTGCCATGAAGTTATCTCTGGATCCCCTTTGAGGTCGTGAAGGTCAAACCTCGTTATTGTAGCCGAACGTTGGCGGTGTCCTTCACAACCACTATCGGTGCTAGTCGATTGCATTCTAAGAGCTATGAAGTGTAGCTTGATGAATCCGTTGTCATTTACGTCGGTACCGATGGGGGGGGGGCCTCGAAACGTGCTGTGTCCTGTATTAAATTTTCGTAAAGCATTTTCACAGTCAGGTTCATTCCTATGAAAAAGTGGCCCTTGTTGAGGCTGACCCGGTGCTTGTATCTGCGACGTTGGATGTTGCAATCTGAATTTAGTTTGAAGGTGCCAGTATTCGTTTCCGGGTAAAACTGCGTGAATATTAGTTTGAATTTACAGCGTATTGTTATTCACTAAAATTGAAGCACCATCACAAATGCATCAAAGAGGGAAGATCCTGCTTGTCGATAGGGACATAGTTCTGCTGCATTCCAAAGTTTCAGTTTAGTTTTCGGCGTTTTCGTTAAACATCAATATTGGTAAAAGGGCTGCGATGAGGCTGTGAGGCGTTATTGTGCAATGTTAATGCTGCTGGTTGTGAGATTTTTAGCCTAGGTGATTTTACAATTCTAAAAGGGCAAATAAGCATGGCCAAATTGGGATATAATTGAATGGCGTCGATAGCACCCAAGCATACTGTCATCGCAAGTCCTGAGGTCATGTCTCACCGTGACGCTTATGCTTCACCTAAGCCCGGAGGAAAGGACATGCAGATTGTGATCGGATTGTTATTATCCGAAGTTGAATTCCTTCAGGTTGATTGACCGTTAGTAGCATTTCCGTTACTGCGGTCAGTGTTGATGGGAATTCACCAGGTGTGTATTACTATTCGATTCTTTGTCTTGTAAATACAGCTATTGGATGAGTCGTGGGATGCCAAGCTTGCATGTCGGGTGGCTTCATGTGAATCCAGTTTATTTTCCACTAGGTGTAGCAGTTGATAATCCATGAGAATACACATCTCAGCTACTTTAGTGCACTGAGCGTTCAAGTAGGATTTCTCGACTTATACTAGGTTGGTGGTTAATGCACCACCTTAACCCAATCAATTGCGTTGAACGAAATTCATTGTTCGAAAATCGTGCACGTATGTGTAGCGAAAGCAAGCGAGCGCATTTGCTGAGGACACCGTTTTTACAGTGGAAGGCCAAGTCAACAATTTCCTGTCAGCTGTAACAACTCACTCAAACTAGGCATCGCCAATTCATTCAACACAATGGCTAGATGATCGATCACTACCATTTGTGAGGACAAATTTCTGAAAGTTGACATTGACTCCAAGGGATCGAATCCGCAGGTTTTCATATTTGTAGGTAATAGAAGACTGAATAAAGGGATTTTCGAGCTGCCCATTGTCGCACTTAGTCAGGTAATGAAGTTGTTTTAAACTAACACACCTTGTACAAATAGTCACCCATTTAGGGCCTGACTTAATCTGTAGCTGACTAGATGTGCCAAATCGCAATGAACTTTATTGATGCCTGATTTGTTTTGCTATGTGGAGCAATCATTTAAATGTGCTTGGAATGGTCGTAGAAGTTGGTGTGTGGTTCCAGTATGTGTGCCATGACGTGGTCAATCAGGTTACTCCAGCCGAATGCTTGGCAATCGTTAGCTAGGCTCGCTGCGCTTTTCGAGACGTGATGTCTGCGGTAAAGAAGACCAGAACTTCTTACTATATAGAGCCCACTTTAGAGGATTGCTTTCACCATAAATAACTTAGGTGAACTTGTTCCGGAATTTCCTTGAATCTTGGAAACAGTATATTGCACTCAGTGGGTCACGCGATGATCACTTGTTTGGCATTTAATGTACAGAAACGGTCTACTTTGACCTAACACCAGTTCCTCGTTCCGCTTAATGTTTGGTCGGTGTTTAATGCTGCACAAATTAAAATTACCTGACCCATGTCTACAGCAGCATCTCGAGTGCATGGCCAGGTTCATGAAACGTCAGTTGCTCACACGAGGCATCGGACATATTCTCATTCATGAAACCTTGGTTATCTCGCACATTCTCTCGTCCCATCGACAGTAGGCTCATATACACTTAGTCATTAGATATGAAGTAGCGCGTCGATTATTTCAATCGATCCGCAGTGCCAATTTCAGAGCAATTGAATTGAGAGAGAAGGACGGTACACAGAGAGAATCAGATGAGAATGCAGTCAGAAGATTGCAATTTTAGGACAAAAACAATGTTGGGCAAATGTGCACGAAGGAAGCTGGCCCAGTACCATCACAAAATCAGCTGTCTGTGCCTCCTATACTTTTTCGTGGACAGCATTTCTCGCTTCGTCATTTTAATGCATAATGGCTTGGTTGATAATTCATATGACCAAAAGTTCACTTCAAAAACTACTGGATTCAAACACGACCCGGCCTGATGATTTAATAAACGTTAGTTTCTTCTTCCACCTCTTGCACGTCCACCATATTTAGCGTTTAGTGAGCTATCGCTCATGGAAGAATCTGCATTTTAGCAGAATTGTCATTAAATGCTGGAACATATTTGAATCGACCCTGTATGATTTTTGCAATAATCACGATGCTTTTGTTGCCTTCTAATGTGTTGAGACCGTTTTCTTTAAGGGCAAAAGTCGTTTACTATTTACGGTATATGCAAAAAAAGTTGTCATAGCAGTGGCCAGTTCGTGAGTCTACACAGTCAACATCCATTTTACTATCCCGACGGTACGGGATGCACTCTCAAGATCCAACATCACTTAAGTACGTCATGACGATCACAATGAATATTCCCTAGTTAGTAGAGCAGAATTATGTCCTTGTAATACAGCAAATGTGCGTGGAAAATTTTTCAAACTCCTGCTTATATGTTTCAAGATGTAAGTAATAACACCCAACGTTTGCAAAAAACAGTGGATCTGTACCAATTCGCACACAAAAACCTCCGATTTTTTCTCCCCTTCATGCGTCAAACAAAAGACAGTATATCTCGCAAGCCAACAGCAGGTTTCGCTAAAACTCATGGAAATCCCTTACGTATTAGCTGATCTGGCATGAAATGTGCGTCAGTTTTCACAGGTGCTCAATTCACCATATCTTTTCAGCCAATGTATTTGTTAGACTGAATTTCCCACTTTTTTCTACAACTCCACATCTCGCGTTTAGTCTTATGTTCGTCCCCTATGCAATAGCGACCAAACACCCCAACTCCAAAAAAACTAGCACTTTGTGCTTGCACTCCCATAAACCTAAATGGGTCGCGTATACGACACAGTTGTCGCAGTCCTCACTGCCAATCACACGACTTTCATCACCCTGCGGATAATTTAAAGACGTTTTACTTTCTGCAAATCGGATTCCTATTCCATTGCCTTGCCCTCATCCGCGCAGTAAACAAGTGAAGCGTGATTGTATTTTAGTGGACGAATAAGTATGCTTTTCACAACGTGCGCCCTCCATGTCCCTTTTCAAAGAACAGTCAAGCGACGCATTCGTCTTCACGCCTTATTTACGCACATGGTCCGAGCCCTCAAAGAAAATTGATCTTGTCAGGTGAACTTTACGAATAATAGCTAATTTAAAGGAGAAAGAAATACCACGTGGAGAAACCCCCAAATGCTAAGTCATAAATTGTGGGAGGCTGGATTTAAACAGAAGGTCCAAACGTTGTTGGAAAAGACAAACAGCCATTCACGAAAAGAATCACCGAAACCCAGAGATTAACAGGACCGGGAGACACAAATCCAAAAACACATTAGAAGTGATGCATATAAAGACATTCGCTGCAGGTAA